CCTGGTTAGGGTTTTGCACAGAATATCTGCTTTTCAGGAAAAGATACCTGACTTAGGTGTTACCAGGTGCATTCAAATTTAGAATTGCTGTGCCTTCCCGGTGAATTGCACTTTTATTGTAATGAAATATCCCACTATATTCTTATCCATATCTATATATCTATGTATCTCATGCATCAAAGTTTTCTATGGTAAAGTATAGCCACACAAGCTTTCTTTTGGTTTGTATTTTATAAAAGATATCTTTCTCCATGCTTTTATGCTGATTCTTTCTGTATCCCCATATGTCATATATATCCTCTATAATCATCTTATAATTAGGTTTTATTTTTTTTTAATCTTATTTGGATTATTTATTAGTCCATTTTTCCCCTCTGTTAGCTTGTTAGCTGTACAGGTGGCTCTTCATGTCTGTGGGTTTTGTACTCGTGGATTCATCCAACTGTAGATTGAAAATATCCAGGAAAAAAAATTCCAGAAAATTCCCAAAAGCAAAGCTTGAATTTACTGCATGCCAACAGCTATTTACATAGCATTTATATTTTATTATGTATTATAAATAATCTAAGGATGATTAAAAGTATATGAGAGGATTTGTGTGGGTTATATGCAAATGCTATGCCATTTTTATATAAGGGACTTGCGCATCCTCAGATTTTGGTATCTTCTCAGGGTCCTGGAACCAATCCCCTACAGATAACCAAGGAACGACTATATATGCTCTTACTGTCTTTCTAGTGGTTATCTCAGAGATTACCACATGCATCTTTAATGTTTTGAAGTCTAAAGTTAATGAGAACTTTTTCCATTTCCTAATCAATGAAAGTGTTTTAGAACACTTTAACTTCATTTACTACCCTTCCCAATTATGTATTGTTGTGCATTGTAATATTATAAATTCCACAAAATACGGTCATTATTTTATTTAGTCAGTATTCATTTAGAGTTACATATTTAGTCCATTCATTATATTTCATTTTTTTGGTGCATATCCAAGCTGTATCTGCAATCCCTCTTTTCCTTCTACTTGAAGAAGTCTCTTCAATGTTCCCTGGTGACAAATTTTCTGATTGTTTGGCTAAAAATGTCTCTATTTTGCCTTCATTTCTGAAGGGTATTTTTTTTTTTTTTTTTGCCAAATACAGAGTTCTATTTTGGCATTTCCCCTGTTACGAGCACTCTGAGGATATCATTTTGTTATCTTTTGGCTTCCATTATTTATTCACAGAAGCCAGCTATATCTTACTGTTACTATTAAAGTTAATATATTTTTAAATTTTTCTGGCTACTTTTAAGGTCTGTTTGTGGCTGTTTCTGTCTCTTTCTTTCTGTCCCTCCAACCTCCCCCTTTACTTTGATTTGCCTACGTTTCTTTGTATTTGTTTTGCTTGGGAGTTTGTAGATATTCTTGAATCTGTGGCTTGATGTCATTCATCAGTTTTTTAAAGTTTTAAACTATTAGGTCTTTAAATATCTTCTCTTTCTCATATGTTCTCGCCTTCCTTTCTGGGACTCCAGTTACTTGAATTTTGGATCTTTTCTTCATGTTCCATAATATTTTCACACTCTTTTCTGTATTTCCCATTCTTGTGTCTTTTTGGGCTTCAGTGTAGTGTATTTTCTTCTTTCCTATCTTCTGGGTCATTGGTTCTTTTGTCAGCTGTATCTAACCTGTTGTTAAACTCATCCATCAATTTCTCAATTTCTGTTTTTAAAATTGTATTTTTCAATTCTCTGTTTCTATGTTTTTAGTGTTGTTTGCTAAAATTCTTCATTTAAAAACATCCTTTTAACACATTAAATTATTTTAAAACTGTTTTCTGGGATTTCCTGGTTTTGCAGTGGTTAAGAATCTGCCTGCCAATGCAGGGGACACAGGTTCGAGCCCTGTTCTGGAAAGATCCCACATGCTGCGGAGCAGCTAAGGCCCGTGCACCACAACTACTGAGCCTGAGCTCTAGAGCCTGTGAGCCACAACTACTGAGCCCGTGCGCCTAGAGCCTGTGCTGTACAACAAGAGAAGCCACCACAATGAGAAGCTCGTGCACCACAGAGAGTAGGCCCCGCTTGCCACAACTAGAGAAAGCCCACGTGCAGCAACAAAAACCCAGCACAGCCAAAAAAAAAATAAATAAATAATGTTATTAAATCTGGTCAAAAGTATGGATCATTAAAAAAAATTAAAAACTTTTCTGCTAACACCATTATCTGAATCTATTATGGGTCTATTTCTGGTGCCATTTTAAAGTCTTAGTTTTCAGTCAGATCTTGATGGGTTGTTTTATTTTAGACATTTCATATGAAAAATGATAGGATAATTTGAATTTTGGAGTCTTCTTGCTGATAAGATTTACTTTTGCTAAAACCTTTTGGGAAGATTTTACTGGCATGCAGCTAGACTAATGATACTAGGTAGCCCAGATTACCTCAATATAGTCAGATTGAGAAAATTTGAAGCTATACTTCTTTCCTTTTGTGGCCTGGTCTATTTCTGGTTTACCTTTTACCTAGGGTATAGTCCTTTTGATTCCCTCCAGCTTCCCAGTGTGTTTACTGGAGCTGTTCCTCCTAGCCAGGCTCTGAATTGAATTTTCGTGTCCCCACCCAAAGAAGTGTGGAAAGCTCTGCTTAGCTTCTCAGCCTCTCAGCTAGTGTTTTAAGAATCTATGAATGATTCTAGGGGAAAACAAGTCTAATGTCTGGCCCCACCTGTTTCTTCTAGGTCCCAGCCCTGCAAATTCTCACTGTCTTGAAAGTTCTTCAGTTGTTTTAAACAGATTACTCTTTTTTTTTTTTTTGGCGGTACGTGGGCCTCTCACTGCTGTGGCCTCTCCCATTGTGGAGCACAGGCTCCGGACGCACAGGCTCAGCGGCCATGGCTCACGGGCCCAGCAGCTCTGCGGCACGTGGGATCTTCCTGGACCGGGGCACGAACCTGCGTCCCTTGCATCGGCAGGTGGGCTCTTAACCACTGTACCACCAGGGAAGCCCAAACAGATTACTTTTTGTTTTGCTTTTCTAGTGGTTCTCAGGGAAAGACAGGTTTGAAGCAACCTATTCCACCATTGTCAAAAGCAGAATGCTCAGAATTTTTCAGATTATACAGGTGCACATACCTTATAGGAGTTAACATATTATCTCTATGGTGAAATGTGTGAATATTTACGTTGCCTGCTACAGTGCAAGTTTTCATAATGGGAATTGGATGTGCTGTGATCTATTATAGAACATGATTTGGAGTAAGCCAACTTCTATTGTTTATATTGCAGTCTGTTGAGAAAACAGAAACACTCTACAGCACAGCTGCTTGTTTGATTGATTCCTACCAGTGACTAGCCATCTTTCAGTTCCTCTCATGTTTCCTGCTCATTCTTGTCATAGGGTTTTTTTTTTTTTTTTAACATCTTTATTGGGGTATAATTGCTTTACAATGTCATAGGGTTTTTGCACATGCTATTCTGTCTGCCTAATAAGTATATCTGCATACTCAGGTTTGAGTATGAAGCAGTTCTCAGTGAAGCCTGCCCTGACCCTGAATTTAGGTCAGACAAATGAACTTTTGTACAAACTCATTTATATGATGGTTTGACTGTCTGTTTTCCCCTACTAGACTCTGGACTGTGAGATCAGAAATTATGCCTTTTTTCCTTGACCATTTTATCATATGTACCTAGTTCAGTGTTTGGAAGTACCTGTTTTGCAAATAGGTGATCACTGAATAGATTATCAGTTGTTAATAGATGAGCAATTAATATTTGTATAAATAAAGAAATAACAGAATGAGTAAGGGAAGATATGTAAGAAATGCTGTGCTGATGATAATGATGGTTGTGATAAGAATTGGAAACTCACTGCTTTTGAGCAAAAGCCAGATTTATTTCAGCACTGGAGTTGCATAGTACAGTTGAAGTTTTATAGAGTTACATGTACAATATTAAAAATACTTCAAAAAATTCCCTTGAGAAATTGTTACTGTGTTATAACATTTGTCTCCCATCCCCCATCCCTCTGTAAATATTTTATTATGTAAATTTTGAAAGCACTGGGTTTTTGACACAACTGTGATTCAGAGCATGACAAGTTATATCATTGCCAGTCATTCTACTGTAGAGATAAATGGAATAAAAAATTGTTGTTTTTGAAAGATTCACAGTCTTAAAGGGAAATAATCTTGGAATTTATACAGATGTACCCACAAAATAAGGTGCTATGATTTATTCTACCAAGGGGAATTGGTCTTGGCTTCATCAGGGTGGTGACATTGAAAGTGAATCTTGGCTGATAAGGAGGAGATAATGAAATGGCTAAAGGAATAGTGTTTCATTTAGGTGCATATTATTATGAAAGTATATAATGTCTTTGTGGATTGACAAATAGTAATTTTGCTAGTGGCTGAGGCAGTTTGCAAGAAGAATTTGTAAAGGCAGATTGGGGCTACCCAGATTATTAGTTCATCCTTTTGACATGGAGGCTATCAAAAGCTTTTAAGGATATTCCATAATGTTTGAGAGTAGAAATTCTAGAGACTCCCTGAGTTCATATTATAAACTCTGCCTCTTACTAGCTGTGTGACCTTGGACACATTACTTAATAGCTCTCTGCCTTAATATCCCTATTTATAAAATGGAGATGATAATTGTAACTCAGAAGATTGAAGTTATGATTGAATGAGTTAAGGCATATTAGGTACTTAGAAAAGTGCCTGGCACATAGAAAAATCTCAGTAAGTGTTGCTCTTGTTTTGCTGTTATTATATTCATTGAGGAAAAACTCAAAGGTTATATATAATTGCACTCTTTTAGCCAGAACTAGAGGCATGAAAAGTTTCAGGAGATATTTTAAGGGTAAAATTAACAAGGCTTCAACTTGTTTACTAATTTTATGTAATGAAAAATTTCAACTAATAATGCAGTCTGTGTGCACTATAAAGGCAGGTTTGAAATTTGTATAATAACATTTTCATATAGAACTTAAATTTTCTAATTTGTGTTTTCTTTTATATCTTATAGAAAATTTCAGCTGTAGCCCTTGAACTAGAAGCTGAAATAATAGAAGCTGTGTACCATGCATTAGGGTATTGAAGAAAATTAATTTTTGAATTAAATATTTGGAATATAAGGAAGGAAAGGTGACTGAAAATGGGGCGGAAGAAAATACAAATCACACGCATAATGGATGAAAGGAACCGACAGGTAAATGAAAATTTTAATTATCTATTTAATTGGTGTAAATTTTTTTAAAAAGATGTGGCACATATATACAATGGAATATTACTCAGCCATAAAAAGAAACGAAATTGAGCTATTTGTAATGAGGTGGATAGATCTAGAGTCTGTCATACAGAGTGAAGTAAGTCAGAAAGAGAAGGACAAATACCGTATGCTAACACATATATATGGAATTTAAGAAAAAAAAAATGTTATGAAGAACCTAGGGGTAAAACAGGAATAAAGACAGAGACCTACTGGAGAACAGACTTGAGGATATGGGGAGGGGGAAGGGTGAGGTGTGTTAGGGCGAGAGAGAGACATGGACATATATATACTAACAAACGTAAGGTAGATAGCCAGTGGGAAGCAGCCGCATGGCACAGGGAAACCGGCTCGGTTCTTTGTGGCTGTCTGGAGGGGTGGGATAGGGAGGGTGGGAGGGAGGGAGACAAAGAGGGAAGAGATATGGGAACATATATATATGTATAACTGACTCACTCTGTTATAAAGCAGAAACTAACACACCATTGTAAAGCAATTATACCCCAATTAAAAAAAAAAAAAAAAAGGAGTGTAGGATAGAATGGTTGATTTTTTAAAAAAATTAATTTGAAGTCTAAATATTTTTATTTTCAGACTACATTAAAACATTTAGCAATCAAAAGCTTTTGACTTTTCATCATGTGCTTTAAAGAAACTTTTTTTCTTATTATAGAAATTATTTTTGTTAATTATAGAAAACATAAATAAGCAGAATAGGAAAAGTAAAATCACTGCAATTCCACTACTACCATCCATTGTGTAGGTTTATCATAATATATTTAGTCTTCTGTACACTTGATTATGTTTGTTAGTTTTCCATATATTGATGATTATTTTAAATTACCACCTCTGTTGTCATAATTAGGTAATACCTAAGTTAACTGTGGTTATCAGTGAATGTGTTCTGGTCAGTTAGGTTTTCTGATTCACCAACAAATAATGAGAATTTTTTTGTAACTCTTATTATTACAAATATTTCTAAGTCATTTATGTATATATCTCAGCTTTAATTGATAAAATATCATTGAACTTAATTTTCACTACAATGTTAGTAAACCCTTACAAATTCAGGATAGTTATAATGATACTGGTATATGAAGCCCAGAAGTTGTAAGAGTTTAAAGCAGGGGGTGGCAAACTATGTTCCATGGGCTGGCTGCCTATTTTTTTTTTTATATAAATAAAGCATTATTAGGACATTGCCACGCACATTTGTTTACATATTGTCTTTGGCTGCTTTCACACTAAAACCACAGAGTTGAGTAGTTGCCCCAGAGACTGTATGGCCCATAGACCTAAAATCTTTACTCCCTGGCCCTTTAAGAAAAAGTTTGCCAATCTCTTCATTTAAAGGAAGGAAGGAAAAATAATATCATAGACTATTGTAAAGGAACTACTATTGAAAGCATATGCAGAAGGGAGGGATGCTATCTCCAGAAAGGTTGCATATCAGAAGTTTCAAGAACAGCTGGTTTTTGGAAGCTTACCAGGAATAGAACAGTACTGAAGATGTGTACTGTAAAGTCTGAGTAGTAGTTCATCCAGTAATACAGATGTAATTGGAGACAAAACTCAACTGAGCAGCTGGTAAAGAAGTTAGTGGAAGTGATTAGGATTGCTGATGGACCAAACTGAAGAGGTCCCCTTGTTTCAGCTCATGAAGATTCCTTAGCTAAAGTGTTAAGGCTCACACAGTATGATTCGTTATGAAGGTTGATAAAATAGTGAAGACTGATCAAATAATCATACCATCATTCCAAAGGAATGATTCTAGCAAGATTGCAAGTAAATTTCCCTTCATGGGGACCTGTTTCATGATCATGTGCAGCATAAATGTAAAATAGGATTTATTGGGGAATAACGTACAAGCAGAGGAGCAACTAAGATCCCTTCAGCTCTCGGTATCCCATACAGAGTCATGTTTAAATTGAGCATAGATAGACTAGAACTGCTAGTGGAAAGGACTCCACATGTTTAGAGGGAAAGGACAACTAGGAATATGTAAGTGACTGTGTAATGGGAACTTTTTAAGTTAAGGAAATGACCTGGTTAAAAAAATGGAGACTGCCACTATATCTCAGCAACTAGAAATAGACTATTCCTGTGTTGAATTTACCTGCTAAGTCAGCTTCTTGCCAAGCTGCCAAATGGGACAAGGGTATCTGAATTTCTCCTCAGATGATTTTGGCAAAAAAAATGCAGAAAAGATAAAAAAGACGTAGTTGGGTAGTTTATTTTTAAGGTTAGATTAGGAACAATTTGTCATAAACTAAAAGGGTATCTTAATTTTACTGATTTTGGAATTTGTGGATTCTGAGTTAAAAGTTTCATTATTCTTGCATTAAAGAGGAAAAATCGTTCCCATGCAGAAGAGATGTCATTTATTTCATCCACATTTGAATACCTACTTTATCTGAGATACTGCTAGGCACTGGGAACTCATTAAATACATTTAAGTGTATTGCAAATAGAAGTAAGCTTAGGTAATAGGAGTGTTTATGGAAGAAACCACCAACCTCTGATGGTGGGGTAGTTCAGGGAGCAGTTACTGAAGGAGGTAATAGCAAATAGAGTTTTGAATTACTAGAGTTTTTGAGCTAGTAAGTTAAATAACACACTTAAAGTCATTGGAACATCACGTGTTCTTTTGTGCAACATTATGTTTGTGAAATTCATCATTGTTGTTGCATGGAGGTGTACTTTATACATTTTCATTGATGTATAATATTCCATTGTGTGACTAGAACACAATGTATATATTTATTCTCTTGTAAATAGGCTTTGGGATTTTAGATCTACTATTCATTTGGAGTTTGTTTTTGTGTGTGGTTTGAGTTGTAGGGGTCAAAATTTGATATTTTTCAGATGGATTTTCACTTGACCCAGTGCAATTTATTGCAAAAACCATACCAAGAAAGCAGAAAAGAACACATGCTCTTCATAAAAAACTCAACAACAGGCATAATTAATCTATGATGCTAGAAGTTAGGTTAATGATCTTCCTTGGGACAAGGTGATAATGACTTGGAGACAGGACAAAAGAGTGTTTCTGGGGTGGTGCACTGGTGTATACTAGATTTAAGGCCATATTCTTTCTTTGAAAATTCACTGAGCCACACACACAGGATTTGTGAGCTTTCCTTTATGTTATGCTTTAGTACAAAGTTTACATTTTAAAAAGAACTAGACCAAGAAGAACAAACACACAGTTTCATCAGAAGCTTCTAAGTGGAAGTGAAGTCTTTCATCCCTCTAAAATTTTGGCATCTTCAGTCCGTTTTGCTTCAGCAGCTTTCTCATGTCTTAGAACAGGTATTTGGTGTATTTCACTCTTTTTGTAGTTGATCTCAGTGGGTTCTTTGGTCTTCCATCAGTCACTCCATTTTACTTAGAGACAGACATCCTCTTATACTTTAAATAAAAAATGAAATAGAGTTAAAAAAAATTATTTTAAGGCAGAATGCAGAGAACAAACAATACTCAAACACTGTTACTTTCATTATCCAGAAGTAGTGTATGTCAATTCTGACATATTTGCTGCAGATACCTTTCCTTGTAAAAGAAAAAAATTAAAAATTTACTGTCCTCTATCATTTTTCCTAGTCACATTCCTCTTTGCTTCCCCAAAGTAACCCCCATCATGGATTTAATTTGTATTTTCTTTATTACTTAAGCACATATTACTGAATATTGTTTCAACATGGTTTAAAAATTTTACATAATAGCATTATTATCTGCACATGCTTTTTCACTAAATGTAGTGTTTTGGAGAGTTGTCTGTGTAATTCGTTTAGTACAACTAGTTCGTAGGAAAGAATATACCTCAATTCATTTATCAGTACTTCTATCAAAGAACATTTAGGTTGTTCCAGTTTTTTAGAAATTTTGCTGCGTATGTTATGTTAGAAATGATGCTAAAGCTACATCTGTGGACATGTCTCTGTGATAAATATCTAGAGGAGTTGCTGGGTTGAGTATGTCTGTCATAGCTTTATTGTGTGGTTTTCAAGTTGCTTTCCAAAGTGGTTGTACCAGATACACTATAGTAATTTATGAAAATTTCTTTTTCCTATACACTTTGCCTTTCTCCTTCCTTTCTTCCTTTCTCTCTCACTTTATTTTTTCATTTTTTTAAATATATTTTTTGGTCTAATGAAGGTGAAATGTTACCTGTTTTTGTGATTTTTTGCTGGATTGTTGATTTTTTTCTTAAAAGTTCTTTATATATTTTAGATATTAATTCTGTATGTACTTAATCTGTTTCAGATAGTATCTTTCAGTCTTTACCAAAACACTTTATAAACACTTTAATGATAGAACTTATTACAGTGTTTTATAGTAGTTTATATTGCCTTTACCAATAGATTGTGAACACTTTAAAATGTGTTAAGGCTTGCTTAATTTCCTAAATCATGATCAAGTTTTGGTAAATGTTCCAAGTGGATTTGAGATAAATGTGTATTCTTTTAATTGTTGGATGCAGGATTCTACATATGTCTGTTCAGTCTCATTTTGTGTTCACATTATCTGTATTCTTTGTGTTTTTTTTATGTATTTGGTTTTGGCTCATTGAGACCTGTCAGTAATTGCACTTACCACAATGATGGATTTGTCAATTTCTCTTTATATTTTATTAGCTTAATACATATTGTTTTATATATTTGGGGAATATTTCATTAGGCTCATACATATTTAGAATTGTTATATCTTCTTGGTGAATTTTTTTAATACATACTGACTTTTTCTGTCCTCAGGAAGGCATGTCTGTCTTAAATCTACTTAAATCTACTGTCTCACATTAATATAGCTACATCTTTCTTTTGTATTTGGGGAATATTTCATTAGGCTCATACATATTTAGAATTGTTATATCTTCTTGGTGAATTTTTTTAATACATACTGACTTTTTCTGTCCTCAGGAAGGCATGTCTGTCTTAAAT